GGCACCAGAAAACAAGAAAAGTAAAAATAAGTTCACTAGTGATTTGAACTATTTATGCTTCTTGTCTGCTTCCTCCTGTTTAATATTCTTGGTATTGACTTTGAACAATATAGTGTGTGCTAATATATACCATTTTCTTTTGAATCATGAGTATTTTTGGGTTGGCCCTGCCTTTCCACTTATATAACTTCTCTTTTCTGAGACAGTTTGTGACTATTTCAGTTAAATATGCCTCCTGTGTCTTTTTTTCTTAAGTTCTTTTCTTGATAGTGTGTGCGTGTGTGTTTTAGTATTCACTAGATTTGGTAAGATATAAGGGTAGGAGTACCCCTTGTACTCCATAATCAAAGTATTTTCTGATAAAAAAAAAAAAGGCATTCACTTGGTTTGGGACCATTTCATGCAGATGTTTGATTGACAAAAGTATCAGTTAAGAAGAAAATTTCCTGGTTGGACTGTAATTGTTGGTTCTTGATTCCTTTGGAAGAGCTATACCTAATAAAGCCACTTTGTAACCAATCTTAGCTGCAACATGAAAGAGTTAAGCTTAACTCTATTTTGATCCTAGTGGAGATGATAGAGGACAACCGTAAAGCTTGGAATGGTGATTAAGTGGTGGATTGTGGAGCACTTAAGGCTAGGTATGCATTTGTCTTTGGGAACTCTGGACATGTACAACTATAGGTGTTTGAAGAAAAGTGATACCATTCTTTTCTAGTTTCATTTGCTTAGTTGATTAGGTTTTCATCCTTTATCTTGATTGTTTGGATGAAATCTTTAACTTCCCAAAGGAAAATCATGTTAAGCTAAAAGTACAAGCATATGTTACTGAACTTTCTGAATTACTGTATTTTCTGTCCTACTTAGTAAAGGAAGCTTGAGTTTTTAGATTAAAGCTTAGTCTCCAATCTCCATGCGTTTCCTTGGCAACTTCTGCTTGGTCTATGGAACTTTGTGAATGATTTGATTTTTATTATTATTATTTTTTTGCCATCTGAATGACTTGATATTTAAATTTGCAATTTTATGGTCTATATTTCCTGGTGTTGTCAGTTGACTTGAGGAAGGTTTAGCAAGGGGTTCGTTTGGGGATAGGGGCAACCTTCCTTCATGCCATTTTCAATATGACGCCCATTTGAAAAGGCAGAGTTAAAGAATTGAAGCTGGGGGTGATAAGCTCTCTCACTGAGATGAAATTAAATTTTTTTGCGCTTTGATTTAAGTATCTGTGTCTGAGTGGCTTGCATTGCATGAGTATGCTTCCTTGATGTAGGGTAGGGTACCTATTTTGAATTATATAAGGGAAGATAGTCTTCCCCTTCCCAAGCCCTCATCCGTCCTAAGATTCGAACTCATGAGATATATATTCCAACTCCCTCCTCATCTTGAAGAAATTTACAGAGCTATAAGATTAAATTCCAAACAGCTTCATTTCCATCAAATAGACTTAATTTCAGGATCCCTTTTGCTTAGTTTTGGAATGATTTACCTCTTAATTTTTGTGAGGTAAGATAGATGGGTACTATTTTTTAGTGCCCTCTCTCTCTCTATATATATATAGAGGTAAAAGAAAAGTTCAAAATTTCATTCTAAACGGTATGTCTAGGATTACATTTTGGATTTCTATTAAGAAGAAAAAGAAATTCTAGTACTATCCCTAACTTCTATTGCTAGGCTTCCAAGATCCAAAAAGGGTTAGTCATTTCTGCATTTTACTAGAAGTTAGGGCTGAGACATCGTTGATGATGAAATGTCAGCCACCGCTTCCCCCACTGTGAGGTAGAGTCCGTTGGACTCGAACAATTCCAGGATTTTGGACTGATGCAACTTCTCCATCACGCTTCCAACAGGATTCACCAACACAAGCTGCAGAAATGGAGTGAAACCCTCGAGTTAAGAGGCTTGGCATGTCAAATAATTTGGTTATAATTTGTCTTACCTTAAGTAATCTTTTCTCCAGCATCTTCCTCAGTTCGCCAATTGTTTCAATGCCGCTTGTGTCAATGGCCGTGACAGCTGAGAAAATTGCAAGATTCTGAGATAAATCGGGTAGGGAATTGTAGGGGAATCATGGTTCTCTTTCAACAAATGGCGATATGGAGTTTTCAGATGGGATATACCAGTCAAATCGAGGATTATGGTTTCCAATTTGCACTCTTTGTTTGCCTCTATCCACTCGTCTTCTTCCCGAACCCACCTTAGTATCCTGTGAACAAGCTTGCGTTAGTACTGATCCAAAAAGTATGGGAAAAGTGGAAGAAAATAATGGTTCTTGGACTGACCTCTCTTGAATGTAACTAGAATTAGCAAAGTATATTGGAGATTCGATTGCTAGTATGAGAAACGAAGGCACCCTCAAAGCTTCTCTGTATCGGCTGAGGCTTTGGTATATCTGTGTCCCCGGGATGTTGCCCAAGGCCATGGTGTTTGGCCTGGTGACCTGTAAGAGTATTTTGAGAACCGAAACTCCTACCTGCATTTTCTGGCCAAGGCATTAGAACTATTGTCACAATGAAAGAAATCGCTAGGGATGAGAAGAAGCTTACTGCAATAGCCAGCCCCAGAGCCACTGAGATGAAAAGAACCCCGAAGAAGGAACACAAACAAGCCAAGAAATCTATCTTGTCGACTTTCCATAATCTGAATGCAGCCTGATAGTCGATAAGACTGATGACGGCTGTTATGATGATAGCTGCTAAGACGACATCAGGGGTGTAGTGGAATAATGGCATCAGAAACAGCAGTGTAACAACCACGGCGGCAGCCATTATTATGTTGGAAACTGCAGTTTGTGCTCCAGCATTGTAGTTTACAGCAGACCGAGAAAATGATCCTGAAATTAAGGAACAAGTTTAAGAAGAAAGAAACTTTAGAATTTGAATATCTATCACTGGTCACAACTTTGTACAATAGATAGGAAGAGATGCATCACCTGTTGTAACATAGCTTGAAGTGCAGGAACCTATTATGTTCATGAGACCTATGGCCATCATTTCTTTGTTTCCATCAACTTGATAGTTCTCTATTGCAGCAAAGGTCCTTCCCACTGCAATTCCTTCCTTCAGCACAAGAAGAAAGTTAAAAAGTTCAGAAAAAGTGTTTGGAAAAATGCAGCGAGAGTAGCAATAACCGAGATAGGTTATTGAATGAAACATTGATCAATGCAACTATGAAGAACTTACCGTGAGAGACAGGATACCGGTGACAATGCCTGTCTTGATGGCTAATGCCAGAAAAGGTCCATTGAAGTATAACTTGTTTGAAGAAGGTGGATTCAACCCCTTTGGCAAGTGGCCAATCTATGTACCAAGAGGAACGTGGAAAAAGGAAAGATGTTTTAGATACTAAATTAGAAAAAATAAAAATAAAAATCGAGATATCCTAATAGTAAAAGTGTAAAAATATCTAATAATAACTACATGGTAAATAAGACATGATATGAACTCTCATTTTATTAAATTCATTATATGCTCTGATACTTTTAATATTAAAACATCCATATTTTCTTCTTCTTTTTTTCAATTAGAAATGTTTTTTTTAGTCCAAACTGACAAAAATGAAGGTTAATAGAAAGGATTAAGTTGTCATTTTACAGTTTAAACTGAAAAGAACATTTTTTTTAATTCTGGATGTAATTTGTCAAAAAGAGAGAATATATTAACAGTTCTTACAAATGAGATTCCACGAGCCTTTGATTTGATGCAGAAGACGATTAGAGTAGAGAGAATAACTGAGGCCAATGGGGTGGCTGCTGATACCCAGAAAAGCTTTGGTTTTCTCATGCTCTGTAACAAAATTTTCAAAAAGAAAAGTCCTTGTAACTAAACAAGCATCCATGAAAATCATGTTAATTTGTTGAGTAAAAGATGAACGTACAATATGCCTCGTCGTCAAAAGAAACACCAGGAAACTGAATCCCATTACGATCGTTTGCCAAGACCACTGCGCAAGTGCACATGAATTGTTACCATTGAAGTGAAGAGAATATCTTTTGGAATAATTATAACCAAACACCATGAAAAAAAGAATATTGCACCTATGCCGTCGGAGAAAAAAGAAACCATCAAAATGACAAAAGGGTCCACATTCTTTGGCATTTATATTTTTATAAAGTACAAAATTGTGACAATAATCAATGGAAATCTTTTCCAAGGTGGAAAATCAAGAAAATCACTTTTCTAAGGTGAAGTATATAGTTTCTTTTTCCAAAAAAGAAAAAGAAAAAGTTAAAAAGATGAGAACGTTGTTTTTCAATATGAACCTGTAAAAAATACCAGCCCAAATTGAAATCAACAAATTTGTCCTCTCTAATCTATATATAGAAAATTAGAGTTAATTTGGTTCAAGGGTAAGGGAGAGAAGGTTATTTTGACTAATTAAATTATTTTGTTGTCCAATAATTTAATTTAATTGGTTGAAATAACAACCCCTTTCCATTCCCTTTTTCTATTTTTCTTAAACTAAATAGACTGCTAGGGTATTAAAGGTGTTTGTGTTTTTGTCATTACCAATCCAGACCGGTAAAAATCTTTCTGCTAAAAGATCAAGTATATTTCTTTTTCTTGAAGCTATTTACCTCTTTTCTGTGTTTTAATACAGATGTCATTACTGGTATCAATTGCATCTTTCCAGTAAAATGAACAATTCCAAGCAATCCCTTTAGCTGCTGTAATGACACAATGACAGCCGCACCAGCCATGAACCCAACAAGAGTAGCCTTCGACAGAAAATCAATCACAAACCCTAACCTGTAAACCATTGTAAACATTAATACCTAAGAAATAAAGGGATTGGATACTAATTGATACGCTTTTCGATTTAATATATTACATAATATATTTATTAAAACATTATTATTTCAAATCTAAAATTAATTAAAGGCAACAAATTTAAAAATATAACTATGTATAAAGCATGAAAGAACTTGCTAAATAAGTTATATTTTTATTATTTAAAAAATCATTATTTTTTATCTCAAATTAAAAACAACAAATTTAAAAATATAGTTATATGTATAGAGTATGGAGAATCAGATAAATAAGTTATACTTTTATTATATTTTAATATCTAAATTAAACCAATGTTAAAAGATATGTTAAAGCAAAAAGTATACTAATTAGTTTCCAAAGAAATTTAATTAAAACTTAAACAGTCTAATTATAATTTCTCCTCCAAATGGAGCAATAGATCCTATATTCAAGTGATAGGCATACGAGTGAGCTGCGTTAAAGAAAAATGGTAGAGGGTTTTGATGTTTTCATCCAATTCATTTAGAAATTCTTCTAATCTTATGCAAATGAGATTTCACTAAATGTTTTGAAGAACTACATCTACCTTAGTAGACCCAGAGATGCCTGAAACAAACCGGCAAAGAAAGTAGCAGTTAAGGCCAATTTAAGGTAGAGAATTGGGTCTTCAACACCGGAAACACTTTCACTAAGCATTGTTCCCATTATCAAAGATGCTATAGACACCGGACCAACAGCAACATGCCTAGAACTCCCCAGGAGAGAATAAATTAGCGGAGGAACGAAACTCGAATCTGCATTCGCATCCATAAAATGGAAATTTCACGATAAGGGAACTTAATTTTTATGCAGAATTAATCCATAATTGAATTAAATTAGGAAAAAGAGTAGTTCTGGCTGTGATACTGACATAGTCCTAGTATTGGTGCCAAATTTGCAAGCTTTGCATAACTGATTCCCTGCAGTTCAGAAACCAAACTCAGATAACGTATGACAAATACTTTTTTGCTGGTACAATTACAAACAAATTTAACAAGAAAACCAAGTTGTAATGTATGTCAAATGTCAATGTTTTTTTTTTTTTTCTGTCCAGACTGGCAAAATAAAATGTCAGTCCCAACTCGAAAAGACAAAGATGCCCACAACAGTTCGAACTAGTAAACTCATGTTCTTATGGGCATTTTTATCTTTTGTCAGGGTTTGGAAAGAACATTTCTCGTAGGTGTGTTTGCTTAGATGCCAAATATTTTTAAAAGGGAAGTGGTTGAAAAATATTATATGGAAAGTAAGAAAGTAATGTAAAGAAATTTGTTAAATTTTGTAATAAATTTTGTT